ACTTCTGAGCAACTTCAAAGAAAATTTTTAGATGGTTGTCTGTCAACAACAGATACACAACCTTAATAGCGCTTTGCTTCCTTATCATCTGCAGTATGTATTCGTAGTCACCGGTTTTGGCATCCTCTGATATCGTCATGTCTATAGGGATGCAAATTCCTTGTTTTGTTGCAGAATCTCGAAAAAGATCCGATGATCTTTGACCATAGTTTCCTTCTGAACTGATAAGTGCAATGTAATTCCATTTGAATTTCAACGCCAAACTCACCAAAAGCTTCACAGCGTTGTAATCTGATGGTACCGTACGGTAAAAATAGCCATACCGGATGCGGTTTTCTAAATCCGGGCTTGTTGCAGCGTAGCTGATGGTATTTTTACCGAAGATGTTCATTACCGTTGCGGTTGTTATTGCATCGTCCGAATATTGGGGGCCTACAACGCCTTGAGAATGGTAGTTTGCCACTTGCACTAGAATATTGCGCAAGTAGAGCTTGTCCCCGCACGTATCGTAAATCCGCGTGCGCAGTTTCAATCCATGAAGTATTGAAGTATCATTGTTTATACGGTCTAACGCGAATAGCATGGCTTCGACAAACATAATTCCGTATTGAGGATCGATGATACCACAGCGTTTGAAGTAGCCTTTTCCAAGATTGCCCTTAAGATGAACATTGAATATTCCTGCGATCTTCACTTCTCCTACATCTTGATGTGAATAATACCACGCTAAAAGCAGTATACATTTACATTAGCAATCAATGTTACACTATCTGATTCGATCAGTTATTATCATCAAGATATCATGTAAAAGCTGAGTATTTTGTATCAGTGAAAAAACAGTTATCTTTGGGTGAGTCTTAAATTAATGCTTAGAGGTCGTCAACTTTATATTTATTTGCAGACCAGCAAGTCTTACAAAATGTGTAAGAAGTATGAACAGCAGGATAGGCTGTCCGCCGGATTCTGTGAATCTTGCAATGAGTATAAATACGAAGATGAAACTCAGAAAAAAAGCAAAACGGTGACAAGAATCCAATGTAATTCAAAATAGATTAAACAAAACGAATACTAATATTTCGCCCTGTCATACGGGCCTTCATCAAAGTATATTCTTAGAAAATTTTCACGTTTTAATAGATTCAGAGATTCGAATAAGAAATTTCTAAAGGAGAGGGTTTGATTCAAAATGGGACCGAACACTAACGAAAATGGGCCTTTTTTGTCTATTATCAATGATACTTGGCAAAAACAAATCTCAAATTTTATTTCTGTTGCGCTGGAGGCAACAAGCATGACGATGTCAAACTGCCTCCACACCCGACATCACAATCCCGGATGTGGTCTTATGCATAACTTGTACATCTGGCCCAGTACCTGTGTTGACATATATTGGCAACAGCTGGATCATCATTAGAACTTAGAAGAAGGTTTCCTAGCTTTTTGCCTATAGTCGAGAATATTGCTTTCTTCGCTTGCTTTGTGAGATCAGAGATTGAAACCCCTTTTTCCATCGGTGTCCTAAGTTTTGTACAATATCCAGATTATGAATAAGGGCTTCTGCTGTGAATTCAAGATTAGGAACTACTTGGAACATAGATGCGTCAGGTAAAGTTTCAATTCACAGTATACACCTTCAGTAAGATCATTAATGTAGAAAAGAAAGAAAAGAGACCCGACAATGGACCCCTGAGGAACACCGGTTAAAAAATGCTGTCTTTGTGTAGCCCTAACAAAAACAAAGTTCTATTACCTACGAGAATCATCTTGTGGATGTAAAAGGGTGTTAATATTGATTTTCACAAACGGATGTTAACATTGATTTTTCTACGCTTTCTATTGATACATTGTTATGCAATAGGAATAAGATATTTGGTACATAATTGTTTACGCTTTTGCAAAGTCTAGCTAAAGGAGAGTTTTCAGTTACTTCAATCTCTATGGCTGGAACTTAGATACCATAAAAGCAGAGTTAGAAAAACATCGAATGCAGTCACTTATTCAAACGCTCTGTGCGTACAGTAAGTTTTGCTGTTGTGGAAGCAAAATAATAGACTTCACTTACATAGAGAGCCAATCAGATCTTTTACAAATGATGTCTTTAGGACAGGTGTATTTGATTTCAAAATGTTTGAGTTTTCAATATCTCTCTGTATTTTTTGTGTACTCCGTAACCTTCTTCGTTTTCCTATGGTACACAAACATTGTTCCTGGAGGGACAGGAGGATGGCTGAATCTGCCTTTGAAAATGAGTAGAGTTAGTTTTCAAAGACATTTGCCAAGGATTCTACCATTGATAAAGATGCTAGAAATATAGACAAGAAATTCTAGAAACTTCTAGAAATCTAGTTCTGTGAGACAAAGTTTTGTTTCAACATATTGCAGAATTCTGGATGTATGAATGATTATTTTCCCCATTTAAAACATGCTAAAAATTCTTTATCGTTATCATCTGTCCTCTTTCTACCCTTATCATAAATAAGTTCTGCTCCTTTTACCGAGGTTTCACGATTGGCAAAAGCTGTAAATATAGGCAATCTTCATAATATATTTCTTTCAGGAAATCCTTTTTGTGTTGAACAAAGAGGGATTTCTGTGGCTGGAACGGTGCAGATCAAGTTAAAAAGCTTCAGAAGGGGCCAGAATTCTCTGCAATATTTATCGGAAAATTTAGATCCAAGATCTTCAGGACTTCCTTTGACTGCAGCATATAAAGAACAAGTCCTTTTTGAAGCTACTAAAAGTTTTGCTATTTCGCTATTTTGCTATTTACGTTAAACAAATAATTCCCTTACCTGAACTGAAAACTGTAGAAAGAACGAGTATAAGCAACTTTATTATCATTTTGGCCATATCGTCTTGCTTTGCTTTGTTCCCGTGACCTTGAGATGGATACAGCTATGTGTAGAGTTGTTACAACGTTATCTCTTATCATGAGTAGTTTGTCTTCAGATGCTACTGATTACTTTCCTAGCCAACCATTTGTAACTGCATCTCTCCACAACAGAGTCATTTAACGAATTAACTGTCAGTTTGGTATGAGGAAAACATCTTGTCTTTATCCACACACTCAAATTTTGCTTTCAACTGTCTAGATCGTTTGCATGATTTTCGCTTACTATTTACACAGCTTTGCCAGTTCCCTAAAAAATTCAATGGCTCATGCATCCGAAGTCAATATCTTTCCTACAATTTGTTTTTAAGTTTACCTTTACACTTTCGGTTGTCATTTCTTGTATCCGGCTCTAATCTTACTCCATAACACTTTGAAAGAAAATACCCAATATTGCAAACGAAGGTTATCCTATACTTTAATAGAGGTTGCCAGGCAACTTCCAAAGAACGGCTAGAATCTAACTTTGCATTTGTGAAATTCATTGCACATTCAATAATAAGACAAAATAATAAATGTTGTTAAAGGGGAACTGAAGTGAAAAATGAAAATCATTTAAAAAGTAGTTTTCATCGTGCTGATTTCGGATATCGACACGAAATTAGTGTTTTTCTTTTCGTTTTCCTGCATTTAACGCGCAAAGTGTGAAATTTCTCCATTTCCGTGGCGGAGAGGTCTGGAGACAAGTTTCAGGCGCTGACGTAAAGTCGTGGACACGTGCCCCGAACCTAACGAAAACAACAGTGTAGTAGAGTGAATCGGAGGGAGGGAATTTGGTTAGTAGTTAAAGTTTCAGATCGCAATTTTCACGACAGCTCTTCAGGAATGACAACAGACTTAAGATCGAGCGACGATGAAGTGTTTGGAGCATGTGGTGGTGAAGTACTTGCCCTACCAAGGGCGAACGGGACCTGCGAAAGTGGCGATGAAGATTAGCCTAGGCCCGATGAGATCCCAGAGGATGAGGATGAATTATCTCCCACGACGTGCTTGTTTTGTTGGTAGAAATGAGGAAGTAGATAAATGGTACGTCGATCCTTGTTTCTTTTCTTGCAATGAAGGCAAGAAATACTCAAGCTCAATTTCCTTATTTCCTTATAAAAAGTAAGATACAACAGAGAATGAGTAGGCTTCCTATTATAATCTTTCCATTTCTAAAATCTGAAATAATAAGGATTATTACATGTTACAATTTAATAAATATTTGCTTTGATATAAAAACGTTTATACATAGTTTGATGTGTAGCACGAAACAGGTCGACCTAATCCACTTTTTGTTTAAAAACTGGTTTGTTTTGTGTACATTGACAATTCAGATTTTTGGACTGATAATTCGAAAATGTCAAATATTTAATAGAATTGCATAAATATGCCTAAAATAGAATAATACCTAAAATTATATCCACTTTGCTAGGTATCTACAAACAGTGGCTGATCAATGTATGGTTTGCTGGTTTTTGGGTATTTGTGCTGGAATAACTGGACAACTTTAAGTATGCATTTATCACAAATGTAAAGAAAATAACTTTAGTCAAAGAAGACAAGAGTTTCAAAATTCTGCAGAGAGACAATGAAAATGCAAAAATCAGCTACCTACTACATATACAGTGGAGAACAGGGTTATATACAGGGGTTATTCAAAAGGACCAGACTTTTTGTTCAAAATAGCAAGAAGAGAAATTTGTTGAAACTAGTGGGACAATGGCCAAATCTTGTCAGCCCTAGGCCAAATCACTAGATTAGTCACATCAAGGGGTGGGGGGGATTCAGCAAGGCTTGATATTTTTAAGATTCCTAAGGTGTACTTTTCAACATAGTTCACTCACAACAAAATGTGTAGAATAGTTTGGATTTGATCAAGATTTTCTCTTACAATAATGGTCCTGTACCACCTGCTTGGTAACATTTTTTATAAATAATCAGAGGAAAATGTTTTACCTTCAGGGTACAATGTTCTTTTAATGTATTCTGTCACTGCCTGTTGTTAAGATACACTGTTTTTAAATTTTGAGAATGAAGTTTTTTTGTGCCCAATGGTTGTATTTTTTTGAAATTCGCTTCAACTCAACATTTAATAAACTTGGAAACATATACATCATTTAATGGTTGTGCTTTAAATCCTCCCCCTTTATGTACATCCTGGTATGGATTGTTTTTTATGCCTGGAGTTAAATCAGAAAATGCTTTGATATCATGTTCTGTAGACAAAGCATGAGAAATCATGTTTGAAGGGGTATTTCTGAAGTGGGGGACCACTTTTATCATTTTCTGCAAGTAAATTGTGTGGGTTTGCCAAGTTTCATGGCTTTATAGTTAACATACTAACGTATTCTGAGTACTGGGCACAAGTACCCAGTCTAAAAATAATACAAGGGGTAGTTCTGAGGATGGGGACCATTTTATCTTTTTTAGCAAGTCAAATTGTGTAGATTTCCCAAGTTTCATGGCTGTATGGTTAACAGAAATATATTTACCATACTATTGTATTCTGAGTACTAGGCACAAGTACCCCAGTCCAAAAATAGCACAAGGGGCATTTCTGAGGGTGGGGACCATTCTTATCATTTTCAGCAAGCCAAATTGTGTCGGTTTGCCAAGTTTCGTGGCTGTATAGTTAACAGAAATAGATTGACCATACTGACGTATTTTGAGTACTGGGCACAAGTACCCCAGTCTAAAAATAGCACAAGGGGCATTTCTGAGGGTGGGGACCATTCTTATCATTTTCAGCAAGCCAAATTGTGTCGGTTTGCCAAGTTTCATGGCTGTATAGTTCACAGAAATAGATTGACCATGCCAACATATTCTGAGTACTGGGCACAAGTACCCCAGTCCAAAAATAGCACAAGGGGCATTTCTGAGGGTGGGGACCATTCTTATCATTTTCAGCAAGCCAAATTGTGTCGGTTTGCCAAGTTTCGTGGCTGTATATTTCACAGAAATAGATTGACCATGCCAACATATTCTGAGTACTGAGCACAAGTACCCCAGGCTAAAAATAGCACAAGGGTTTTTTTCCCAAAATGGTTCTACATTCTATCTTGTTACGCATATCGAATTCTGTATTTTCACCAAGTTTCATGCTTTTATCACAATTTTCACGATTGTTACCTGTCATGAACCTTATCAAACTCACTACTACATTTCATCAAAACATCTCTTCGTGTCCACCACTTTACCTCACAAGGTCACGTGACACAGTGGTCTGACCGCGTTCTCGCTCCGCCATCGATGAGGGCAAATTTCGACTTTAAAAACTTAATAACTTAAAAACTACATAACGTATTTAAAAAATTCAAACGGTTTTTGAATCAGCACGGGAACTTTTATCAGTGGTAAAAAAATCGTTTTTCATTTCAGTTCCCCTTTAAGTCAAACAAGTATCTCACCATCATCAATTTCGAAGGGTCTTTCCCTCTTTGGCTTCGCGCTTGGCTTGTCGCCTAATAATTCTGAAACAGATAGAGTTTTCATTACAATTTTAATTTATAATTTTAGATAACACATTCTTGATTGATGGATGGTTGATGGATACAAACGAGAAATCAAGTAACCTTTACTCCACTTAAGTCAAACAAGTATCTCACCATCATCAATTTCAAAGGGTCTTTCCGTCTTCTGCTTCGCGCTTGGCTCATCGCCTAATAATTCTGAAACAGATAGAATTTTCATGACAATTTTAATGTATAATTTTAGATAACACATTCTTGATTGATGGATGGTTGATGGATACAAACGAGAAATCAAGTAACCTTTACTCCACTTAAGTCAAACAAGTATCTCACCATCATCAATTTCGAAGGGTCTTTCCGTCTTCTGCTTCGCGCTTGGCTCATCGCCTAATAATTCTGAAACAGATTGAGTTTTGATGACAATTTTAATTTATAATTTTAGATAACACATTCTTGATTGATGGATGGTTGATGGATACAAACAAGAAATCAAGTAACCTTTACTCCACTTAAAGGGGAACTGAAATGAAAAACGATTTTTTTACCACTGATAAAAGTTCCCGTGCTGATTCAAAAACCGTTTGAATTTTTTAAATACGTTATGTAGTTTTTAAGTTATTAAGTTTTTAAAGTCGAAATTTGCCCTCATCGATGGCGGAGCGAGAACGCGGTCAGACCACTGTGTCACGTGACCTTGTGACGTAAAGTGGTGGACACGAAGAGATGTTTTGATGAAATGTAGTAGTGAGTTTGATAAGGTTCATGACAGGTAACAATCGTGAAAATTGTGATAAAAGCATGAAACTTGGTGAAAATACAGAATTCGATATGCGTAACAAGATAGAATGTAGAACCATTTTGGGAAAAAAACCCTTGTGCTATTTTTAGCCTGGGGTACTTGTGCTCAGTACTCAGAATATGTTGGCATGGTCAATCTATTTCTGTGAAATATACAGCCATGAAACTTGGCAAACCGACACAATTTGACTTGCTGAAAATGATAAGAATGGTCCCCACCCTCAGAAATGCCCCTTGTGCTATTTTTAGACTGGGGTACTTGTGCCCAGTACTCAAAATTCGTCAGTATGGTCAATCTATTTCTGTTAACTATACAGCCACGAAACTTGGCAAACCGACACAATTTGGCTTGCTGAAAATGATAAGAATGGTCCCCACCCTCAGAAATGCCCCTTGTGCTATTTTTGGACTGGGGTACTTGTGCCCAGTACTCAGAATATGTTGGCATGGTCAATCTATTTCTGTGAACTATACAGCCATGAAACTTGGCAAACCGACACAATTTGACTTGCTGAAAATGATAAGAATGGTCCCCACCCTCAGAAATGCCCCTTGTGCTATTTTTAGACTGGGGTACTTGTGCCCAGTACTCAAAATACGTCAGTATGGTCAATCTATTTCTGTTAACTATACAGCCACGAAACTTGGCAAACCGACACAATTTGGCTTGCTGAAAATGATAAGAATGGTCCCCACCCTCAGAAATGCCCCTTGTGCTATTTTTGGACTGGGGTACTTGTGCCCAGTACTCAAAATTCGTCAGTATGGTCAATCTATTTCTGTTAACTATACAGCCACGAAACTTGGCAAACCGACACAATTTGGCTTGCTGAAAATGATAAGAATGGTCCCCACCCTCAGAAATGCCCCTTGTGCTATTTTTGGACTGGGGTACTTGTGCCCAGTACTCAGAATATGTTGGCATGGTCAATCTATTTCTGTGAACTATACAGCCATGAAACTTGGCAAACCGACACAATTTGACTTGCTGAAAATGATAAGAATGGTCCCCACCCTCAGAAATGCCCCTTGTGCTATTTTTAGACTGGGGTACTTGTGCCCAGTACTCAAAATACGTCAGTATGGTCAATCTATTTCTGTTAACTATACAGCCACGAAACTTGGCAAACCGACACAATTTGGCTTCTGAAAATGATAAGAATGGTCCCCACCCTCAGAAATGCCCCTCTTGCTATTTTTGGACTGGGGTACTTGTGCCCAGTACTCAGAATACAATAGTATGGTAAATATATTTCTGTTAACCATACAGCCATGAAACTTGGGAAATCTACACAATTTGACTTGCTGAAAAAGATAAAAATGGTCCCCATCCTCAGAACTACCCTTGTACTATTTTTAGACTGGATACTTGTGCCCAGTACTCAGAATACGTTAGTATGTTAACTATACAGCCATGAAACTTGGCAAACCCACACAATTTACTTGCAGAAAATGATAAAAGTGGTCCCCCACTTCAGAAATACCCCTTCAAACATGATTTCTCATGCCTTGTCTACAGAACATGATATCAAAGCATTTTCTGATTTAACTCCAGGCATAAAAAACAATCCATACCAGGATGTACATAAAGGGGGAGGATTTAAAGCACAACCATTAAATGATGTATATGTTTCCAAGTTTATTAAATGTTGAGTTGAAGCGAATTTCAAAAAAATACAACCATTGGGCACAAAAAAACTTCATTCTCAAAATTTAAAAACAGTGTATCTTAACAACAGGCAGTGACAGAATACATTAAAAGAACATTGTACCCTGAAGGTAAAACATTTTCCTCTGATTATTTATAAAAAATGTTACCAAGCAGGTGGTACAGGACCATTATTGTAAGAGAAAATCTTGATCAAATCCAAACTATTCTACACATTTTGTTGTGAGTGAACTATGTTGAAAAGTACACCTTAGGAATCTTAAAAATATCAAGCCTTGCTGAATCCCCCCCACCCCTTGATGTGACTAATCTAGTGATTTGGCCTAGGGCTGACAAGATTTGGCCATTGTCCCACTAGTTTCAACAAATTTCTCTTCTTGCTATTTTGAACAAAAAGTCTGGTCCTTTTGAATAACCCCTGTATATAACCCTGTTCTCCACTGTATATGTAGTAGGTAGCTGATTTTTGCATTTTCATTGTCTCTCTGCAGAATTTTGAAACTCTTGTCTTCTTTGAATAAAGTTATTTTCTTTACATTTGTGATAAATGCATACTTAAAGTTGTCCAGTTATTCCAGCACAAATACCCCAAAACCAGCAAACCATACATTGATCGGCCACTGTTTGTAGATACCTAGCAAAGTGGATATAATTTTAGGTATTATTCTATTTTAGGCATATTTATGCAATTCTATTAAATATTTGACATTTTCGAATTATCAGTCCAAAAATCTGAATTGCAGGAAGATTTAATAATACTTGTCAATGTACACAAAAAAAACCAGTTTTTAAACAAAAAGTGGATTAGGTCGACCTGTTCCGTGCTACACATCAAACTATGTATAAACGTTTTTATATCAAAGCAAATATTTATTAAATTGTAACATGTAATAATCCTTATTATTTCAGATTTTAGAAATGGAAAGATTATAATAGGAAGCCCACTCATTCTCTGTTGTATCTTACTTTTTATAAGAAAATAAGGAAATTGAGCTTGAGTATTTCTTGCCTTCATTGCAAGAAAAGAAACAAGGATCGACGTACCATTTATTTACTTCCTCATTTCTACCAACAAAACAAGCACGTCGTGGGAGATAATTCATCCTCATCCTCTGGGATCTCATCGGGCCTAGGCTAATCTTCATCGCCACTTTCGCAGGTCCCGTTCGCCCTTGGTAGGGCAAGTACTTCACCACCACATGCTCCAAACACTTCATCGTCGCTCGATCTTAAGTCTGTTGTCATTCCTGAAGAGCTGTCGTGAAAATTGCGATCTGAAACTTTAACTACTAACCAAATTCCCTCCCTCCGATTCACTCTACTACACTGTTGTTTTCGTTAGGTTCGGGGCACGTGTCCACGACTTTACGTCAGCGCCTGAAACTTGTCTCCAGACCTCTCCGCCACGGAAATGGAGAAATTTCACACTTTGCGCGTTAAATGCAGGAAAACGAAAAGAAAAACACTAATTTCGTGTCGATATCCGAAATCAGCACGATGAAAACTACTTTTTGAATGATTTTCATTTTTCACTTCAGTTCCCCTTTAAGTGGAGTGAAGGTTACTTGATATCTTGTTTGTATCCATCAACCAGGGGCGGACTGTCTAATTTTTTTGGCCCGGGCAAATTTTGATCAAACCGGCCCATAATAATAGCAAATAAAAATCTCCTCGGAAAATACAAGTAAATGTTAGTCTGCAAGGAAAACAAGTTTTTAAATTCAGTAATTTTGTGCATGGTTGAATGCTTGGATAACATAACAAGTGAATAAGCATAACAGAATATGCTTAAGAGAACATGATAAATATGTCATTTGTTGACTAAACAGTAAATAAACAAAAAATTTAACTCCTTGGTTTGACTTTATTTCTAAATATAGTAACTTATATATTGATAATGTGATAGTTCAGGATGTCATCTAACAGGTGTTTTTCTAAGAACATTAACATGAAGGACTCCAGGTTTGGCTGCCAAAAATTACTATGTAATCTGTTCTTTATATATTTAAAGGGGAAAAGCTTCTATCACACTCCACTTGTGACAGATAATTTTCTAATCCTCCGGAAAACCAGAATGATTTTCAGCAGCCCAAAAAAATCGATTTGTCAATTTCTGACACTAAAAAATGGGCACCCCTGTTGAAATTTTATCGTGAAGCACCATACCCCTGTGGGGCGGGGGTGCATTTGACTTGTGATAGTATAGGCCTAAAAATAAATTTACAAAAACTTGTATGAGTTTATTGAAAGGAGCAAGAGCAAGACCCTGCTTTTTTTGTGACGTTTGTGGCTTTTGCCTGATAAAAAAGCTTTGTATCGTAGCTGAATCCTTTTTTAAGTCTCGCAGCTTTTCCTCGCGAAATTTGTTGTGCATCACCTTTGATTGAAGTCTTCTTGCTCTTCCCTTGTTCTACGCAGTGGCGTACCCAGGGCCGGAAAAGCAGGGGGGTCTGGGGCGCAGCCCCCAGAAATTTTTTTTACCACGCCCTTCAAACACTCGCAAATGCAGAGAAACGCCCTTTTTGCAAAATTTTCCGCCATTATTTGATTCATATTCGCTACAGTAAATAGGAAAGTATTTTACATTTGTTATTGACACAAGCATACAGTGTCAATCTGCTTGACTTACAGTTTTTACTGCGATTTAACCATGTGCCTGTGCATCATGCAGGATGTTGTGTGCATTTATGGTTCCTTAATTTCTGTTTCCACGAGTCTATTAATTTTACTGTATATGTAAGTATCTAATTTGGTTCCTTAAACATGCGGATAACTAGATCTATACGTACTGATAAGTTACTAATTTCCCACATCACATGTGTGAGCACGTCTCCAGCACAGTAATTTTTTACAACCTTTTCCTTTACAAAACTATTAAAACAACCTCACTTCACACCCTTTTTAGAATGAAAGTGTAGGGTCTGGAAGATGCGGAGGAGGGGGGGGGGGTATTTTGTATGCTGTTTATACAGGTCGGATTTAAAAATTTCAGAAGTTAAGAACAAATTAGAAACAAGCTGAAGCTGACGTACTGTAAAATCTGATATTGAACAATGTTGTGACATCACCTAAAAACAGTTTGATCTGAAAAACGAGGTGTTTTGTTACTGGCCGTTGCAAAAAATTGAAAAAGAAAAAGAACTTTGCAAAAAATTGGTCGAAATGAACAAAGAGCGAGAGTCTCGGAAAAGAAAAAAGCCAGTAACATAGGATATGCCTTTGCAATAAACGCATTAAAACATTTTGTGTTGTAAACTTTATCTGAGGAATTTATCTTCAAATCAGTGCTTTCAAACAAAAGTTGTTTTATCAGTGTCCGCTTTATTGCAAAGGTTTTTTGTCCGGTTTTTTGCGTGTTGGGGACAAAGAAATTGCGTCCGCTGTCCGTCTTAGCGAGGTGTCCGTGTGATAGAAGACAAACATACTGCTTTTCCTATACGGTTTGGCAGGGACTTCAAACAAGTATCCGTCTTCACGAGGTGTCTGTCTTATAGAGGTGTCCGCTTATAGAGGTGTTAGCTGTATACGGTTCTGTTATTTTGTTTCTGATTTGAGAGAACGCTCTGCATAAAAATTGTTATTCTCTCATGAAAATAAGCATTAGAAATACAACTTGGATTTACGATTAATCTCAAATTTTCCGATTAAGATACTTCAATATTTTTAATGCAACATTACAAATTTGCATATTATTTAGAAGTTGGTATTACTGAAAATGAACAGTCACAATAGGCTCATCAATTATTTTTCGGAGACTTGTCAACTGTATCGTCAATCTTTTTCAGCATTGTCTTGAGCTCGTAAAATATGGCATCTTCTTTTATCCATGTCCGAAGCTGGTCATCTTCAAAGATGTTGCTTGGTAAACTTCCATCTCGAAGGAAGTTAATGATATGTTGAATGCCTCCAGGATGCCTATCGACATAATACTCCGCAGACATTGTTTTGTAGTGTTCTCTAACTATCCATAGATATATATTGTGCAGCAGTGAACCAGCATCAGCTCTTCTCAACACATCAACACTCGTCGCGATACTGAATTCATTATTAAACATCAGCCTTACCTCGCCGCAGCGTAGAGGTGGAAGCATCAAGGGTTGAGGTTCTTTACTTTGAGCCATTTTTAACGTCCACTTGAACTCTCTGCTCTATCTGTCTACAGATAACCTAGAAAACGAAACGATGAAAGCAATGCGAGACTTCACAGCATTTCCTCTTTTTGAGAAACACAATAAAACAGGAACTTCCTCTTTCCAAGAACTCTCATTAGAATCCCTTGTATTTTGTACTGTGTTTATGTTGCACAGTACAAAAACGAGCATGCGAAAAGTGTTTTTAAACAGGCTGCGTAAATTGCCAGACACTTTGCTATCAATAAGGGTCATTCCACCAATGACAGTGCTTCCAATATTAAAAATAAAAGAAATTGCATATTCAGTTATTAAAATTTCAAACATATTGTTTAGAATCCTAAAAAACATAATAACATTGAGTTAGAATAGTTTTAAAAAAGCCTCTGATGTTGCCTTTACGTTCAAGAATGGTTCCTTTGGGTGATGCTTGAATGTCTTAAAATTTTGTAGAAAATTCCTCTGAGAGTTTGGATAGTATTGGTGAAACGAATTAATCTCAATTTCGAAACGAGCATATCTACAACGCAAGTTTACTGAATACCTAGTTTTAACCCGCAGCCTTTGATGTCCTTCTTTCAACCAGTGTCCAGTTACTTAATTGACTAAAAGCTTCCCTGGGTACACTGATCAGTGCCTGGGTACCGATTGAGTTTGAAGATGCTGTTTAACTGTACTCAAAGAATATTTTTTGGATGTTGTGGAACTTAACACGGAACAGTTAGCAGCATTGAAAACATTGTTTGTAGAGAGAAGAGACACCTTCGTCATATTGCCAACTATGGCCATTATTAAAGGACTGGTTCCATGTTTTTACGTTTCAAAAAATGAGCCTAAGTACGTTTATCGCCATGATTCCGTTGGGCCCTCCGAGCCACTGCAAGCATAAATAATACACAAATTAGCGATAGACCATGTCCCTAGTACGAAAATGGAACTCCAAAATCTTTAAAACGCCATTAGAAGTAATTTGTCAAGAGATACATACCTTTCAAGCCGAAACTTAAACTGCACGCCAAAATCAACGAGAAGATAAACTACCACTAGCAAGCAATGACATAATCTACATCATTGCTAGCAAGCCTTCCTGAGCCCTCTATTCCAGTAGCCTCAGTCCCGCAGATGTCATGTGATGAGAATGGGACGGGGGTAATTATTTATATTCTTTATACACAAATTCCTTTAGCTTACAACTAAATACCAAGTAAGAAAATAAATACCCTAGTTACATTAATATAATTTATCTACAGTTAAAGCTAAAATATGTACAGTAATCTATCTTATAGCAGCTGCTCTTCAAGGGAGTCGTGTTTTATGTTGTGTTCAGCTCGTATAATAACTTTTCAATTGCTTTTTGAATTTGAATTTGAAGTGTAAGGAGCTCTCTGATATTGATGGGAATATCGTTCCAGGCTTTCAGAGCCGAATAGTGAAAGCCTTTCTTGACGTACTCGAGGTAATTTCTTGATTTTGTTGACTGGAAATGTACAGCTGGAGAGGGGGGGGGGGTCGATACCTTGATATTAAGCAATACAGGAGAGACTGTTTTTTACGATTGTATAAGAAGATTATATAACAGGTTTATATAACAAAAGTTCGGTAGTATGATGTGAGGGCAGACAATCGAGTGGGGCATGAGCAGGAGCAGGTGCATTGCACCAACTGCAGAAGACTTCTAGAGACGATGCCGGGGTTGTGCCAGGTGTGGTTGTGCCAGGTGGACAATATGCAGATTTGGGGAGACTTGTTATTTGCCATTGGGGAAGATAGCACTGTCGACCACGGTGGCAGTGGTCCAACATGTTGCGAGAAACGAGCCAGATTGTCGAGATACACTGACGGTGATGGTGAAAGGAAGTACAGCAGTTTTCGGCTTTGTAGGGTACCCCCGTGTGTTTTGTTAGTACTTATTTCCCGTTCTGTTAGGTATATCCTCATTCTGCTGTAGCACTCGTAAGTAAGCTTAATTCTATAATCTAACTAAGATACAGTAACTAACATTGCTACAGCAGAATTCTAAAACATGGAATCGAAAACAAAAGGATTTGACGGAAATGATGATGTCAAGGTGTTCATCGAGAAGGTTGAATTACAATCATCAAAGGCTACGAGGGAGAAAAGGCCGCGCAAAACCTCGCCAGTAAATTGGAGGGCAGAGCATTTGACGTCTATATGAGATTGTCAACAACTGAAAGAAAGGACATAAACAAAATAAAGAGTGAATTATTGAAAGAGTTCGAAAAAGGGAATCAGAATAGGGAATTAGCGATATTCGAACTAAATAATCGAAAAAGAAAACCAGAAGAATCTGCCCAAACCTTTGCGTACAAGGTATTAGAATTAGTCAAACTCGCTTACCAATTATTTAACGACGAAGCCGTGAAAGTCATTGGAAAAGACTTCTACTTAAAAGGCCTACATCCAAAAATGCAAACCGCATTAAAATCATTGCGTCATGCGAAATGCGTCAATCGATGTTTCAGGGGGTAAAGCAGTTCATGCAGACGAAACCTCAGCAATTTGACCCCGTTTACACTGCGTCGGATAAATTTTCTCCGCATCAAAATCAGTTCAAATAGGCGTCGCGTTTACACTAGACCCACGCTCTTCGCACGAATTTGAGAGTGGCTATCCGAACAAAATTAGTTCACCTAGGAAAGTGGATTAAAATGGTTCAGATAGCTATGTGGTACAGTGTAAACGCTTTTATCCAGATAAATTTGATCCACATCCGCTGCGAGGTTGATTTTGATTTACAGCGAGGCTCTTTCAATAAAGAGTAAAAAGGTGGCGCGAGGTGGCGCCAAATCTCATTTCTTGTAAACAGAATCGTGTTGCTTTGTTTATTTTATCTGGACTTTCACTATTAGGATATTCATCACGATTAACTCCAGAATCAGCTTTCGGATATCTTGCTTGAAAATGAGTGGCTATTTCATCATATTTTGTTTTCATCGTCTCCCAATCAAGACCTTTCGCCACCTTTGCTGCCTTGTAGCCTCTTCGTCAGTCCACTTGAAATTGGTGTCCTTTTCAGCTTTCTCTACTTTGTTTGCCATTTCTGTGAAGTGTTATTTCAAACAAAGAATTATTTAAACTATATTGGCCTAATGTGCTTTGAAAATTTCCTCGGACTTTGTCTGAACGCGAAGCAGTTGATTCTGAAGAACGACGGAAAAGTCTTTGCACCTTTGGCGTTTTGGCGGGAATTATGGTGTTATTGAAAATTGGTTGCCTAGAGATGACCTCGTTTTGAACGTTCTGTGAATGATTCAGTTCACATGACTGTAGTTATCCGGCACAGTGTAAACAGGAGGGCAAAGTGGACAAAATTTGTGCGGCACAGTGTAAACGCAAAACAAATTTTATGCGGATAAAATTTATGCGGCACAGTGTAAACGGGGTCTTAATTCGATAGCAAACAGCCAGAAAGCAAACAAAGGTAATTTTTCATTTACTCATTATTCTCCCAGGCGTGGAAATTATCGAAGAGGGAGCCGCTTTTACAGAAATGAAGGAGAATGGAAATTTATTTACTGCCAGAGCCCGGACCATTTTTTCAGAAATTGCCCTCTTCGCTTTTGCCAATCATGTGGTAATAAAGGACATGATGCATGGGATAAAACCTGCCCAAAATACCAATGACTATATAAACCTAAGACATCTGTATACTCCGTTTCTAATCCTCAAGAAATATTTTAAGCTGTTGTCAACGTCAGAATAAATAATCATTCATTAAATGCTTTAATCGATACTGGTGCCAGTTGTTCCTTGATAGACTTGGGTAGTATGAAATTTCTTGATTTAGACATAAATGGTATTGATAAAGGCATCCATAATTTAATTAATGCTTCGGGTAACGACATGGATATCATTGGTTTTATTTTTCTAAAAGTTTCCTTAAAGGGTGCCAAGGTTACGCAAGAATTCAAAGTTCTTAACGCCACAACTTATAAACACGTTCTGTTAGGTCGAGATTTTCTTTCTACAATTCATACAGTAGAATTCAACTTCCATTCAAATAGTATCAAATTGGGACTTTGTTGGTATAAATGCGCTCCTCCCGTGGAAAAAACTCGTGTTCGCTTACAAAATGCTATTTCGTTGCCACCCCGTTCTGAAACTTTAATTGACGTTAAATGTTCTCCGTCCATGTCATTGATAACTGACGATTTTGAACCAGTTGCACTGCACAGCATGACAGGCGTATACGCTACACGTTGTCGAGTTGTTCCTAGTATCAACGGCGTATTCCAAATTAAACTTATGAGCGTTAATACCGATGCCATCGCACTAAAGTCTCGGAAATACTTAGGAAATCTAGTCAAGATCCCAGATTCTATTCATACCGTGACGTCCGAGGCTCCGTCAACGGCTGATTTTTCGTCTCAGATAGTTCTCGGAAGTGATCTTGCTCCACTCGATATAAGTAAATTGATTTCATTAATCTCCGAATTTAAAGATGTGTTTGCCTCAGACCCAAAAAACCAAAATTGGTAAAAAACTGGTAAAAAATTCTCAGCCTGTCCGTATGAAGCCTTACCTTATTCCTTACGCATGGAACAATGAAGTAAATCAACAAATTCAACAAATGTTGGATAACGACATTATTCGACCCTCGCATTCTCCATGGAACGCCCCAGTTATTTTGGTAAAGAAAAAGGACGACTCAATGAGATTTGTTTGCGATTTTCCCGGATTAAATAACGTCACGCAAAGAGACTCAAACCTGCTACCACACATCCAAGATGTTATAGACCAAATGCATGGAGCTAAATTCTGGTCAACTCTAGATGCAGCTTTGGCATATTGGTCTATACCCCTTGCAGAAGAAGACAAGGCGAAGACAGCCCTTTCAGTTCCTAGAGGTAAATTCGAGTTCAACATCACGCCTTATGGCCTAAGTAATGCAGGGGTGTCATACCAACGAATGATAGATATTGAACTGTCCGGGCTACCTTCTAACCGTATCCTCACGTATATGGATGACATCGTGATTTTCAGTAAATCGTTTGAAGACCACATTGAAAATCTCCGACAAGTACTTCAATGTCTTCAATCGTTCTGCATTTCGTTAAAATTATCTAAATGTGTCTTTGCCAGTGACAAAGTGGATTTTCTTGGATTCGAATTGTCAAAAGAAGGGATTCGTCCACAAGCTCGATTGACGGAAGCAATAAACTCATACCAGCGTCCTACAACTAGAAAGAAATTAAAAGCATTTCTCGGACTAGCTGGGTTTTATAGATCATTCATTCCAAAATTTACGCAAATCTGCCATCCATTAAATGAGCTTACAAAAGATAGTGTCGTTTTTACGTGGAGCGATCAATTTGAAACTGCTTTTCAAGTCAAAATTATCATCAAAACCGGTACTGATGTTTCCTAATTTAGGAGAACCATTTGTTATCGAAGTGGATGCCAGTAATTATGTATATTATCGCAAGTCGGCGGTGACAGTCAACTACACCCGGTAGCTTATTTTTCAACGGCTCTACAATCATCCCAAAAGAAATGGTCCACTACCACCAAGGAGGCCTTTGCACTCGTTTGCACTGTTCGACATTGGCGAGTTTATTTAGAGGGTACTCATTTCATCATTAATTCTGATCATAACCTTCTGGTACATATTCGAATCAGAAAGACCCTCGTGGGAAATTCGCGCGTTGGTTGTCTGAACTTGAAGAATACAGGTATTCCATAGAGAACATTCCTGGTAGAGCGAATATCAAAGCCGATGCCTTATCTAGGAATAAAGCTGCAGCAACCTGCCAACCAACATCTGAGTTTCGAGAATAAGATTTATTCTTTGTTCGTAGACAATAAGAGTTTTCGCGTTCAACTCAAGGAGAAACAAGCAAAAGACGCCTTGATCGCCAATGCTATGAGAAGTGTTCAGAACAGACAGCCAATTTTAAGGGGCAAATATAAATGCGTTCTTCCTCAGTTACGATTCTGTGATGGAGTGCTTACAGAATCTGATTGAACGATTGTACCACCATCCTTGAGAAAACTCGTTGTATCAGAATATCACGATTCAGCTTACTTCGGAACTGTAATATCAAAAGATCTACCCTCGGATGTGAAACTTGTCAACGATCTAAGTCTGATCTATTGCCTCCTAAAGCTCCAATAGCTGAGATGTTTACTCCTCACGCGCCAATGCAATTAATTTTGCTAGACATTGCATATTTACCGAAAGATCATTCTAGATACCAGTAAGTTCTGTTAATTGGAGATATATTTTCGAAATTTATACAGGCCGTGCCACTAAAGGACCAAACAGTGCCTACAATTAGCAAAGCCTTCTTAAAACATTGGATTTTAACCCCTTTTACCTCCTTACAGATCAGGGTAGCAGCGTAGATGGCGATATTGTTAAATCAATCTGTAATAAATTACACATCGAAAAAAGGAGGTCATCAGCATATCACAGCCAAGCCAAGGGA